ACGCCACCAGCGCTCCATCGGCCTGCACTGGAACTTGTAGGGTGGGGTAATGGGGACGACGGACAGCTTGGAAAGGAGCTCAAGTCTGGTGTGGATAAGCCTAAGAAGAATAGGTGGATGACACTGAAGATGGAAGAGGGTGCTTTTGGGCATGAGCCGGGGGCTGGTCTGGAATCCGTTGAGTCGGCAGGCATGCATAGCTTGTTTGTGGATGAGAAAGGAACTGTAAGTCGAACCAGGTGCGGACTTCGTTAGTAAACGTATAGCCTAACGAGCATGTCTGTACGCTTTCTAGATTTGGTCATTCGGGGTCGATGACGATGGAGGTTTAGGCCGCCTAACAGAGGAGACCGTCAAGTCCCACAAACTCGACGCGAAAGGTCATACTCTAGAACCTGCTCATCTTCCAGCACCAATAATATCCCTCGAGAGGGAAGGATTCCGGACAGTCAAGATCACTACGTGCGATACAATGTGCGCAGCAATTAACGACAAAGGGGAACTTAGACTTTGGGGCGCGTTTCGAGTATGAACTTTCCATCGTCAATTCCACTCAATCACTCATTCGTCATATATTCAGCAAAGTCAAGGAGGCAACATCGGGTTTTCAGGGCTAACCGAGACGCAATTCCTTCCCCTACGCCCTCCAGAATTGAGAAATGAGAAAATCGTCTCACTAGCAAGCGGTCGACACCATATAATCCTACTCACACAACAAGGTCACCTCTATACTCTCGGTATAGCTGATGATGGTTGTTTAGGACGTTTAAGAGTACTAGAAAGACATCAAACCTCACCAGCAAGAGTCCTCTTCGGCACTCGACACCGTCGCGTAGCTGCCATTGGCGCAGGCTCGTATACCAGCTTTGCTGTAGATGAAGATGGTACAGTTTGGGGATGGGGCATGAACTCTCGCGGACAAACAGGAACAGGCGTTACGAACTTGGAAACTGAAAAGATCGTGCTTATACCTAGATTGGTCTCTGGATTACATCCGTCTGAATTGGGTGGTGCAAGAGTTATCCAGATTGCAGGTGGCGAACAACACTCTCTATTCCTCACGTCTGACGGAAGAGTATTCGCATGCGGCGAAACAGATGAAGGTCGACTAGGCATTCCCTCAAGCGATCCAAAGTTAAAAGATCTCGCCGTCCCAGGAGTCCTCTCTGAACCAACCCAAGTAATCTTCCCATCTGAAGACGACCCTGTAATCCAAATCTCATGTGGTCCACACTGCAGCTTTGCCGTCACCCAAGAAGGAGCGCTATACTGTTGGGGTCGACAAGTCGAAGGTCAACTCGGACTCGGTGATGAAGATATACAATTCGTAGAAACTCCGACCGCTGTGATACCTTTAGACCATCCTTCGGTATCTGCTGTTCAGGTATCTGCCGGTGGCCAGCATGTACTTGCCCTTGTGCGCAAGAAGGGTTGAACGTTCTATATCCCATGTATATATATCTTCGTGTAACTATTGCTTGTGTAAGATAGAACTTTAAATACGAGGCTAATAACCTAGGGACTATGAGAAAAAATACATTCCGATTGCAAAACGAACAAAACAACTCAACTCGACAAAACAAGAAAACATAGATCAGACGTAACCTCAACTAGATATATACCCACCCATCGACGTTCGTGCGGCAGCAGCTCTCGTCCCCTCCAACGGCACATACTCAAGTACATCTTCTACCATGGATTTCTCGTGATAATCTTCTAGGTGGCTTTGCGCCGCCCTCTGTGCACCCTCCCTCATCACCCTCAACGTTTCATCCGTCGCTTGTAAGTTTCCCGTCTCTCTCCACGCCTCAAGAGCTACGCTAGGATCGAACCTGTGGTTCCTGGCAATGGTTGCGAGAATTTCCTTCATTGCTTCGTCAATGTCACGTTGTCTGATAGGTTTTCCTGCGAAAGATGCACTGGAATGAGTAGAAGATGAAGATGAATAACCAAACGAGGACCGCGGAGTGTTTCTGAAAGGTGTGGGCATAGAGATACGAGAGCGAAGGAGTTCTCTTGGTTGAGGAGAGTATTGAGCGACATGGCCGGCCATGGTGTGGCGTCGATCTGCCCATCGTTTTCGACTGACAGATAGTGAAGCACGTTTCTTGCCGTTTGTCTTTGAACCAGAGGCTTCAGGAGGGGTTTGTTTGGGATGGGGAAGGAGAAGTGTCGATGCTCTAGAAGCGGGGCGTTCTGGAGACGAATCGTCTCGACGAGAAGTAGACGCTATAGGTTGTGGAGAAAATGATAATTGTTGTATAGGTTGTTGTCCTTTCCGTCCCGGTGTGATGTAATCCAGAGCGTCGTTCAAAATACCGACTAAACGTTGCCTTTTAGATGGTGTAATCTCAGATATGATCATCTCATCTCGAGAGGGTGGATGATCGGTCGCGTTTTGCAGGGCGGGGGATTTGCCTTTGGATACCTCACTAGTTTGTGTTCTGACTTGTGTCGGTTGGGTTTGTGAAACCGCAAGGTCTCCTTCGTTGAAAACGTTCTCCTCTTGTGACTGGGTCTCACCAGTAGTAAAGAGAACATCTTCTACGGCATCCTGAGACTCTGACCCATCTGAGTCTTCACGCACTTCGTCCGACGGAGGTAGGGATTCTGCGTACGCCGGAGATGACTGACGGATACCGTCATCCTTAGGAAGGATACGACCAGTTGAAGGACCGGGAATAGGATATTCTGACTCCTGGACACGTTCTTCAATGTGCGGGGATTGGTTAATGGTAGGTTGCTCAACCATCTTTTCGATCTTCCGTCGTTTCGGCGGCCACACTGGGGAAGTACCCTTCGTCTTCGGAGGACTATCGTTCTCATCTTCACTAGTATCATCCGCATCGAGTCGTTCAACGCCACTCAGTCTCCTCATGTCTCTGTCGAACACGGGTTGTCCGTTCTCATTGCTGAACGCACTATTGAAAGGTCCAACGATCAACACCGGTGGACCTTTCTTTGACGGAGAAGAACCAGGTGTGCGCCCAACGCTACTTGGTAGTTTACGTTTTGGAGGTGTGGGGGATGACGCTGGTGATGAAGGCAATGAGGATGCGAACCAATCTTCGTCGGCCACAGGACGTCGTCGTTTACGTTTGATCTTGGGGGTAAGAGGTGGCGCAATGTCGTCCTCTGACTCAGATTCTCGATTATGCTCCTCTTCTACGTGAGGCTCAGATTCTGATTCATGTTCTTCCTGTACAGGTGTCCCTAGGCGGCTCCGCGGAGGACTTGCAATGTCACTGGTTGGAGGGGTTGGTACTTGCGAAGTTTTCTTTTGTTGCTCCTCCTCCTCTTCGAACACCTTCAACCAATAGCCAATTCCAGCTATGATAGGATATAAATGATGTGCAGGAGTCGGGAGGAGATCAAAATTTGGCCTTTGGGGAGTTGATGTGGCAGCATAGTTTCCTGAGATGTCGTGATCAAGAGGAGCTGGAGCTGGATTGGATAGGAGAGACACAAGTTCAGATTGTACGACTTGAGACTGTGGAATTGGGTCCTCGTATTCGAGGGACGGTGACCTGCAGCAATTTGACCAATTAAATACTGAGTACTAGGCTCAAAAGAGAATTGTCACTAGAGCAACATACCGTTTGAGTAATTCTTTCGGTTCCGGCTCCACCACTCGAGTAGTATCATCAAGCAGTTGATCTTCCTCATCCTCTGTCTCGTCCTCGTCCTCGTCCTCTTCCTCTGACGCGCTGCGTTCTCCGGAGGAGTGGTCAATTGCGTGAGAGTAGTCGTCGTCTGGAGGAGGGGGTGGTACAGCTGGCTGAGAGTTAGCTTCTGTCTTGATAGGTTCCTGCTGGTCTTCTACGGGAGGCTCCTCCTCTACTGGAGTATTTTGTGGTTGGCTCTCTTCCTCCTCCTCTTGCCTAAGTGCAACAATCTCAGGGGCAGAATGTGTACGAGAGGACGACTTGGTGTTAGACGTAGATGGTTGAGACGTCGGCGCATCAGTGTCGATACGTCTCTTCTTTGGAGGTGGCTGACTGGCGTCGTTGTGACTTGTCTTCCGTTTAGTCCTAGTCGCAGCTTCTTCCGATTTTTTATACATCGGCGGTTTCGCTTGTTTTGCTATCTTGCTTGAGGATGCAACAGACTCCTTGGCAATGGCAGGCCTTCGAAGAGCACTAGCTGCTTTCTCGGGATCTATACCCTTCATCTTCTGGTACTTTTCAATTATTTGATTGAACCAGGGTGCGTTCTTCTTGTAACGTTGTTGCCAGGAGGACCACGGATGAGCCTTACTCCAAGGATATGCTCCCGCCTGTATAAAGTCCCTTCTGAATTAGCATGCGCAGCATAAAGACAGATGCAGACGTACATTTTGAGTAAGAGCCTTGTACACATTATCACCATGTCTGCCCTTTTCCAACGGTGCAGCACGAGCTAGATAGTGAATGAGTCTCGTGTCTTCCTTCTCGCTAAAGTCGTTGCGTTGCCTCTTGGTAGGAGAGACACTCGGATCCTTTTGAGACGGTTTAGGGGGAGGTTGCGTGCCCTTTTCCCGAGCCCGCTCCCTCAGCTCCTCGTATATTTTCATGTCGAACCATGATTTGCGATCCCTATATCGCTGCAACCAGGACAGGTGTGTGTGTCGCGCTGCCCAGGGCCATTTCTGTGTCTACGACGCGTCAGTAAGGACCCAAAGCAGTCAAATGCACGCAGTAGAGTTGCCTACATTCTCTGTCAAGTCCTTATAGAGTTTAGGTCCCTGTCGACCCTTTTCCTGCGGACAATGCTCAACCAGATACTTGATCAAATGCGCGTCGTCATCTTTGGTGTACTCAGTACGGCTATCATGCACAAGTCAGTTGTAAGCAGGCATATCAAGGTCCTGAACACCATAGCAAATGTACCTGGGTGCCATAGGATAGATTTATGGCGGAATATGAAGTTATCTCTGGCAGAGGAACAGTGAGTGAGCGGGATGCGAATGACTTGTGGGAACAAGCTGCGATCATGACGTCTGGTGCCAGAAACAGGGGTAAGCCCGTTTAGCTCAGTGGTAGAGCGCGCCACTCGTAATGGTCTAGCCGTTGATGGTGAAACCCTAACCCATGGTGAGGTCGGTTGTTCGAATCAGCCAATGGGCATAATATATGATTTATTATGTTTCTTTTTGAATCACCGTCCTCCTCATTCAACGACCGTTGTCTTCGGCCTTTTTCCCCCCAGATGAGCTATGATACTGTTGTCTATGTCGTATCTAATGACTTTGTGAAGGTCATTTTCAATACCATGCTCTAAATATTTACCCAATTCAAAAACGATATCCAGGTTTCTTCACAGCTACCCTCTAACAAGAACCGATCTGTACTCGTGCACACACTCATCAAAGAACTAGGACTCCTGGCATCATCTGAGGGCGACCTCCACGCACGTTTGCAGCCCTTACGACCAACTCCTGCCTCTGCCACGGATCTCGCGCTGTATCACGATCGTGATTACCTTGAGTACGTGTTGAATCCAAAACACTTCAACGCGGAGGGGAGCCCGATAGACTCTGCCAAGGCTGCGGAATTTGGTATCGAAGAGGTACGTCTAACGGTCTCGACGCGTGCATATTTGCATTAGAGTTAGTGGTCTAGGATTGCCCCTGGTTTCGAGAATTGCCCGCATACATCCGCCTTGTTGGAGGTGCATCCTTGACAGGTACGTCCTCTATATTGTATGGTACTCTACACGAGAATCTACACAATTTGTATGTCATCTAGCCGCCAACGCTCTTGTGCAGGGACAGGCTACCATAGCTATTAACTGGGAAGGCGGCAGGTAACCATCTATGCACTGTTAACTTGGTCACTAGTTGAGAACGACAACTCACAGGCATCACGCTCAAAAATCCCAAGCCTCAGGATTCTGCTATGTCGCTGACTGTGTCCTAGCTATCCTGACTCTCAAACGCGCCCGCATACCCTGTCTTACAGACCTAGTGTCCCCTAATCCGCCCCTTCGAAAAGCTCGCGTTTTGTACTTGGATCTTGACCTTCACTTTTCTGACGGTGTTTCGCATGCCTTTCAAAATACTCCAGGGACGCCTCAAATACTCACTTTGTCTATTCATCATGCTGCTCTGGGTTTCTTCCCTATTTCTGAACTATCTTCGCTTCCACCTTCCGACCCGGATCCCAACTTTGACCCATTTACTCTGTCAGTGCCTCTATCTCGAGGTGCCACCTGTCAGACATTCTTCTCGGTTTGGACCAATTGTGTCGAACGAGTGAAAGAGTCTTTCCAACCAGATTTTGTTGTCCTCCAATGCGGCGTGGATGGATTGGCTGGAGACACTTATGGAATCTGGAATTGGTCTCTTGGAGGTCGTGAAGGTCGTGACGAAGAAGGAATAGAGGAAGGTAGCTTGGGCTGGTGCGTGAATAGAGTATGTCATTCGTGGGGATGCAAAACCCTACTTCTCGGTGGAGGTAAGATTCTCGTAACTCTGCTATACATAGTTCATCGTTGACAATTCGTGTCGCAGGAGGCTACAACTCTCCGAACGCGGCTCGCGCATGGGCCTACCTCACCTCGATAGCGGTAAGTTCAAAGTCCTATCAGATATACTTTTTTTTCTCAATTTCATCCTGTCATGCACTAAATATACGCCCTCGCCTCGTTTTATTCCCTATCATAGCTAAACAAACCTCTTTCCCTTCAAACTCCCATTCCAGACCACACTTTCTTTCCCTATTATGCTCCATCATTCACGCTGGATGTCCCACCCAACAACATGCCAGACGAAAACACCCTTGCATATATAGAGGACGTGAATCGTCGTTTCGGATGGGTCTGTGAGGAGATTAGGACACGTTTGAAATAAAAGAAGCAGTCGATTCCTCCTCATGTCTACGACCCTGCAGAAGCACATGGGCGAGTCGCTCGGTTTCGGTAATCATGTCTCCAGAATGGAGTCACTGTTCGTCAAGATCGTCGTTCACCGCACATCTCGATACCATACACTTCTATGTCAACGGGTTTTCCTTCAACATCCGAAGCCACTCACTACAGACACCGCAACCTCAGAAAACGTTACATAAGTTATTAACCCTTGCCATCTCTCGAGACTCGCAGAACAAAAAGAGCAACGTTCGAACACGCTCGACCTTACGCCGATGACCCATGACAGTTCATCCGGGTATGATATCTCTTTTGTGTTATTCACTTAGCCTCCATTACGGAACTCACTTTTCTATCTTCCCAAGCGGGCGCGTTAGACGATCGATTGTTAATGCTCCGTGAGAGGCGGGTATGGATCTATTAGCCGTGAAAGTGATGAATTATCCTCCCTGTTCCTCTCCAGACGACCCCCGCCAGACCCCCCATCCCGCCTAGATCTGCGAACTTCGGTGCCATCTGGTGCCATGGGGCGCAAGAAGAGTTTGTACGAACGCTAGTGTGCCTATTTCTGCCTTTTTTGGTACCTAGGTATTATCGTATAGATATGTGGACCAATCTGAGTAGCTGACTCCCGCCATTTTTTATTCTTGAGTACGATGCCAAGGACAGTGGCGATATGTCTCGGTCAGTGACCGGCGGTAAAAATTAGATTGAGATCCTCGACAGTAGGCGCGGCCGAATGGTCCGTTCGACAAACGGATGCAAGTGTTTCATACAAATGTCGAACATTGCTGCAAGTTAGTGTCTATGAGTATGTCTTACAGCAAGTGTTTGTGACGAAAAGTATGCCGTTGGCGAGGATAAATGGAGAAACATCGGAGAACATACAGTCTAATCTGGAGGAGGCTGGTGTCTACACAAATTGACATGGACGCATGGGTGCGCGCAGAAAGGGCGGCCGGGAAAGCAGCGTAGCCGAAGTTGGTCGGGCCCGACGTCATACTTGTTATATCTTCCACCTCCCATTTTGTCTTTTCCTCTTCCAAGAACGGCAACAATCAAGCCTTCAAAATGTTTCACCCCCGTATTTCATGAATCTTATGATTCTCGGCAGCACATGGACGTCCTGCATTTTACTTGCTCGGGCGAATCAGAACAACGTTGACCCCTAATGCGCTAAACATCTAGGTGTCAGAAGACCCGAGTTCGTTGTCACTTGATCATTTCGACTCGATGAACTTCCCCTGCCTAACCCCTGCGGCATCCAGAACACCGGGGAGAAGCAACAGATGAGGTAACGAATAAGGTCTGGATGATGCAAGATCCATCATCCAAAGTCTTTGGGTTCATATATATATAGCTCCTCGAACGTTCATATAACGCGAGCCTCTTGGACTACTCTGTCAACCAAGGTCCTCTCCTCTGACAAGATGATGTGGAAACGACTTGCGCTCTTCTCGGCTCTGGGGGTAGCCTATGCCGCTATTACCGACCCCGCCAAGTTGGACGCTTGTCCAGGCTACAAGGCGACCAACGTCAAAGCCCTTGGATCCAAACTGACAGCCAATCTCGAGTTGGCCGGAACCGCTTGCAACGTCTACGGTCCCGACATCAGCAAGCTCAAGTTGGATGTAACATACGAAACCAGTACGTGACGTGATTCCTTCATCAAAATGTGAAGAGAAACTGATATTCGTCTTTTGTAGAAACGCGTATCCACGTCAAAATCACGGACGCGTCGAAGGAACGTTATGAAGTTCCCGAGTCTGTCCTTCCTCGCCCCAAGGCGGATCCCTTCACTTTACCTCACACCTCGGCGATTCAATTCAACTACACTACCTCTCCTTTCTCTTTCTCTATTATTCGTAACTCCAATAAGGAAGTCCTGTTCAGCACCGGTTCTCACCCCATTATCTTTGAACCTCAATATCTCCGTGTCAAGACCGACCTCCCCGCTAATCCCAACCTTTACGGTTTAGGCGAACACACTGACTCTTTCCGACTTTCTACTCACAACTATACTCGTACTCTCTGGAGTCGAGATGCTTACGGTGTCCCTAATAACACCAACTTGTACGGAAACCACCCGATCTATTACGAACACCGAACTACAGGTACCCATGGTGTCTTCCTTACCAACTCGAATGGTATGGACATCAAAATCGATGATACCAATGGCACTTCACTGGAATACAACGTCATCGGTGGTATTTTGGATTTCTACTTCCTTGCTGGAAGCGAAACCAACCCTGCCGAGGTGACCAAACAGTATTCCGAGATCACTGGCACACCTGCTGAAGTCCCATACTGGGGTTTCGGATTCCACCAATGTCGATTCGGGTACACAGGTGAATTTCGTTTTGCTTGACACGCCTTGTTGGCAACATACTCATCAGTGCTTTTCGACAGATTACGTTCATGTTGCCAATGTCATCACAAACTACTCTGCTGCCTCTATTCCATTGGAAACTATGTGGACCGATATTGGTACGTTCAAGTTCTGAAATTCTGGATCCAAAGCTAACCTCAGTTTCCATTTTATAGATTACATGGACAGGCGTCGTATTTTCACTCTCGACCCTCAATACTTCCCGTTGAACCGTGTGCGTGAAATCGTCGACTGGCTTCATGCTCACGATCAGAAATACAGTACGCCCGCTTTCGTTTTGTTTGCATGTTTATCACATATCTCATCGTGTCATTCTTATAGTTGTCATGACGGACCCTGCTGTGGCCTATGCTGTTGGAGAAGATTACGCACCTCTGGACCGAGGATCCGCGCTTGACGTTTGGCTTAAGGCTGCTAACGGAAGTTACAGTCTCGGTGCTGTTTGGCCTGGTGTTACCGTCTACCCTGGTTAGTGGCCTGATTACTTCTGCCCTAGATCACAGTTCACTGAGATAATGTTGTTCAGATTGGTTCCACCCTAAAACTCAAGAGTACTGGAACAAGGAGTTCGAGATCTTCTACAACCCCAAGACTGGTGTTGACATCGACGGTGTTTGGATCGACATGAACGAACCCGCTAGTGTAAGGTTTCTTCCCTTTCACAAGCAACTATTTAGTGAGCTCACATGAATTACAGTTCTGCGACTATCCATGCACGGACCCCTTCGAACAAGCAAGACAACAGAACTTACCTCCTCCTCGCTCAACCTTACCTCCCGACCCTAATGCGCTCATTTTCAACCAGACCGCTGCTTTGAGAAAACGTGCAGTTATCGATCACACCGGAGAGGACTTGCAGAACCCTCCTTA